TTAACCCATGTTTCCAAATTGTGACACCCAACATGTGCCGGTCTAGTACAAAAATGCGTTGAACTAGCTTCTAATATCCAAATTCTACCAATCCAGCACAAAATGCGTTGAACCGGCTTATATCGAAATTTTGCCGATCCAACACAAATTGTGTTGAACTTGCTTTTTTTTTTTTTGTTCTGAGTAAAGGCATCACAAATTCTCCCAGTCCGGCACAACATGCATCAAACCAACTTATATTTGAAATTGTGCTGGTCCGACGAAAAATATGCCGGACTGGCTTCTATATTCAAGTTGTGCTGCAGACTGACTTAAGAGAAAGAGTGTGAACTAAGTTAAAATAAAGGTATTTTAGAGGTAAAATATACAGTTTTGAAGCTAATAGTACGGTATCAAAAGTATTTTTATGCCTTTTGAAGGGGTTTACGCCTAAAAAGTCCAATTTGGATGTGAATTTTAAATTCTCTCCATGACATTTTCTCCTCTTTCTTATCTCTATGTTGAAATACACCAGTTATCTAATATACAAACTTCTATATAGTTGGTTGCTCCCAATGTAAAAGAACGCGTCCACTATGTGGAATAATTCTTTCCTAAAATAAAGAATTAGTTGGTTGCTCCATTGAAGAGTCAGAGGTAGATCGTTAGATTAAACGATTTGGCTCACTTGATCTAAATTGGATGGTTAGATGAGGAGTATATAACTTTTATATAGTAGGAGAAATATAAAACAACGGCGTAGATTCGCTTCAGATCCTTCTTCGGTTTGGTCTGAAAAATGAATCAATTTGATGCTTCGACTGATTCAGAAGAAGACTTAAAAAATTCAAAAAGAAATAAATAATAATAATATATATATATATATTATAATTATATATTAAAATAATAAAATTTAAAAATAAAAAAAATTTATAATGAAAAAAAAAAAAGACAATTTTGTGCTTCAATCGGAGAGGCCAAAACTTCGGCCAAAGAGGCGAATTAGACCGAAGCAAGCCGAAGCACAAAAGTGTCTTTTTAAATGACAACTCTGTGCTCCAGCCGATGATGTTGAATTAGACCGAAGCGAGCCAAAATGGACCGAAGCAAGCCAAAGTTGCACCAGAGCTTCGCTTCTCTTTGGTGTAGGCCGGAAATTTGAAGACTTCGGCCAAAGCGAAGTGAATCCATATTACTATGTTCTCATTGATTGGTATAGAAAGTTGTGTGGCATTCTCATTGATTTTCTAGGTTCAAAAAACATACTATATTACTATTTTACAGTACATTACCATCAATTCATTAATATGTATTTATATGTGCGATAAGGATAAAGACTTACTCATGGAAACATAAATAATGAAGCATACTCATTAAAGTTGCAAGTAAATACAAAGATTGTTTTTCTTCACTCTATAATATCGATTTACACTTGCTCTCTCAACCATGATTTCTCCACAAATCTTTCTAATATCTTCCCATATTCACCTCTCTAATAAATGAGAGACCCAATTAATGCATCTTTAAATGTGCATGTAACGCCCCTCCACTATCTCCTTTCTTATTAAAAAAAATGGTTCAAGCCTTTGTAAGAAAGAAAGGGAAGTTATCTCTTTCTAAAACCTCTCCATCAGTTTCTCTATCATCTCCCACTTCTTCAAGTTCTATATGGAGATTTTCAGGTACATTCTCTTTGATCTTCTTGCAACATGTTTGGGCTTGAGCAAGACTGTGAGTATGATATTATTGTGGCTGATTTTTTTAGGCTAATTTTAATTGATGTGAGCTTGTATTGAGCACAGTTTTCTCCATTGGTTTATTTGACGAATTACTGCTCTCTTTTGTGATAGTATTATTGAGTAAGACTTCCTCTCTCACATAAACATTATAGTTATTATTATTTGGGTGTGGTTTCTATAAGGTTGTAACCTTAAACAATCCAATTAAGGCGCACCTCCAAATTTGATCATAAATTGTAATTTTGGTGTAAAACATTGTTAGGATTATCTGAAAATATATTTTTATATCTAATTATAAAATTTTGAACTCCAAAAATGGTTATAATCAAGTAGATCTATAAATATATGAAAATCTAGAAAATAACCGGTCTAGATAATGTGTTGCAAGATGCACTATTTCTGGGACTTAAAATCTTTTTTTTTTTTTCATATTTATACATCTCGATGTCGAGATGATCAATTCGAGGTTTTTTCAACATTAAAACTTTTTTTAATGGATTTTTGAGGTGCATATGTAAATCTACATTTTAAGGTTGCAACCTTATATAAACTTTTTCCTCGTTATTTTTATTTTACCTATTGTGTATTGGCTTCTCTCTTGGTGGCTCTTCTCAAGAGCTTATTTGAAGCTCTCTCTCCAAGCTCAACAACAAAAGAAACTTAAATGTTATTTTATCATTTAGTAAACCTTTCCCCTTTTTTTTGGCATATTTATGTAGTTTCTATCTAACTTCATGCAACTGGATGTAAGTGTCAAAAGGTTTGTTTTTCTGTGGTAGCATTTACTGATATTATTATCTTGCATACCTTTTTGTGGCTAATTATAAGAGATCTAAAACGTGTTAGGATCTAAAATGGGTTTTTTTTGTGTGTTTATTTGATGTAGCACTTATACAAAGTTCATGATTGGTCTTTTCTCTCTATTTACAATTTGTTCATCAAACCCCTCATCACAAATCTTTGACCATTTCTTCCATTGAACTTGCAATGTTTTAGAAGATATTGCCATAAACTTATGCATATTAGTTAATTAAATTAAAATAATCATTGTGTCCCATTTATATGTTTTTTATTTTCTTATATTTTGTAACTAAATTTTTTTATGATTTTTCATTTGTTGGTCAGCGCAGTTAGTGGGGTCTGGGAGCACTAAGCGGGCGCTCGAGATACCAGGTGGACAATAATTTAACAAATTTAAGTTATTAAAAAACTACAAGCATGCAAGATGTGCAATTATATTATGAATAAATTATACGTATATTACAGTTTGTCATTGTCTGAATCATTGCCGAATGGCAACATGAAAGTGATGAATGAGTCATTGTCCATTTAATATTATCATTTTTATGTTTCACTACAGGTAGCATATACGAGAATCAATTGTAATCTTGAAATAAGCTTAAAAAATTAATGTATTAGAGTACGTACCTCTTAATCATCAACTCATATTCAAATGCACAGTATTTTGTATTAAGTTTACCTAGTTTTGCATTCATTATCTTCTCTCTCTTCATATATTGAGGAGGATACGTCATGATCTTGGAGTCATTGCCACATAATATCGTCTGTTGAAATTTTTATATGAAAATTTCCCTCATCAAAGAAGTGTTTCAAGAGAGGAGGGGTTTGAAGCTTTTTCCAGCACAGGGGAAGTGTGGAAAAATGAAAAAATTGCCCTCTATCTGTTGGCCCTTTAATACTCGTGGGTAAAGGCCGAGGAGACACGTGAGGGTTTCCCACCCAAGGCAGTCACTCCAACCGGGGTTGTCCCTCCTCGCCTCTAAGTTGTTGCTCAGACACCCAGGCATGAGTTTTTTTTTTTTAAAGTTATTTCTTTCTCTCAATCCATATAAATTTTATTTTATTTGATAAGTATCCATGACAAAATTTATGCAAATTGGTGTAAATTTTCTAAGTTATAAACATATTATCCCTCAACCAAAATGCCCTTGACCCTTGGTAAAATAGCCTCACAACAATGGAAAAAACCAAAGCTACCTAGACAGGAAAACATCCAAAGATCTAAGTTTCAAGTGTATATTTGAGGCTTTGAAGCCTATTAAGGAGCTGATGAAGCCTGAAAACATTTCCTTTACCTTGACGCACATAGCATATGCATCATATGTATCCTCAACCATGATCCATCTGTTGTCAAATGTGTATGGTTCTGATCAAATGTTCCTCCCCTTTGATGCATTCGCTAGGAGGAATAACTTATCTTAACCATTCATAACCTCTAGCATACAGTTTGTATTCTACATGTCATATTATAAAATCCTTCCTTTATTTTTCATTAGATCAGGTCTTCCTTTTCTTGGTAATTGTTTTAAGCACCACCACTCCTCATTGCCATTTGCACAAAGGCCCAAAGCCATCTGTTACTGCAACTCGCAAGTTTACCCCTTTAATCCCATGCCCTTAAGATCAATCTCGCTTTCCCTCCCTCCCTCCCTCTGACAGCCTCATTGCATTAGTCTAAATTTCCTACAAGCTGCTGAAGCTCCACTCTCCATATTTGCTATACACTACGCTACATTCTTTAGAATTAGACAATCGTCTCATTTTCAACAAGATAAAAGCCCAGCATTCGAATAGACTATTAGAATGAGTTCATGAGATTTCTGGATGATACCAAATAAGACTATTCTTCTTCAACAAAGTCTGATTCTCCACTAAAATGTTTACTGTAGCATTCATTAACCAGTGACATTCTATGAATGGGCAAGCTTCACACATTGAACCCAGTGAGATCCATTCATCTTGAGCTTCATAATTCATATTTGTGATCATTGTAGATCCATATGACTTTCTCGGTTTCTCTTTTCAGATATCTATGGACAGGGCTAGAAAAGGCTGGGTTATGGGAGTGCCTACCTTGTGCTGCGCCCAATTTGTGGTACTAAGTCATTTTTTATTGTTTATGTGATGTAGTTGTAATGGTGAATTTTCCCTGTTGGTGTCTTTCGTTTACTACAATTATTCTGCATATATTGTTATTTGGTTTCATTCTATTGCCTACTGATTGGTACGCATGGTATTGACCCCAATACCTAGGACTGAGACGAAAAGCTCTATACCACAAGGCTATGGAAGGGCCCAAATGTACTCGATCTTAAATCCTTCATTCTGTAGTAAGAATTCAGGAACTTATTTCTGGCACCATTTGTCCTATGCATAATGATACAGGCCATTGATGCACTCAAATTTCAGCGAAGTAAGAATTTCAGTATATGATAAAATTATGGAATTAACAAACCCAGAAAAGCAATTTTCACGGTTTACCTGATATGCAGAAATGGGTAAAGCTGAGTTATCATGAAGAAGCCTAATCACATCCAAATAAGGCATGGCTGGTTTCACCTGTTAATTAAATTCCCAAGTTTTCATCGATAAGTAAGCATCAGTCTGTTGGTAAATAGCAGGCATAAAAAAAATTAAAATCATAAATAACCCAATTTACCATAAGGATATCAGCACCCTCTGCTTCATCTTCACTGGTTTCAATCAGGGCTTCTCTGTAATTTGCGGGGTTCATCTGGTAACTTCATTAAACATAAGCAAGTCAATCACTACCAGAGACTTTACTCAGGAGGCACCAGGATAAAGAAAAACAAATAACATACGTTTTCTTGTCTCCAAAACGTGGGTTGGAATCAAGGGCGTCTCTGAAAGGACCATAAAATGCACTAGCATACCTGTTTCCAAATGCCCAAAAATTAGAACTACACAATTGCTATTTTAATCAATTTAGCCCTTTTTTTTTTCTTTAATGTTAACTGTGTATTCATTAACTGAAATAGAATATACAGAATGTGTTGGAGGCCCGTCAGAGGGGCCACACTATACGAAAAAGGTGCCTGGAATGCAAGCTACAAAAATGTTGTTTGACGAAGGACACTATACATTTACCCCTATTGTATGCGCTGAAAAATCATTTATGATTAGGGGGTTGTGGGGTTGTTGAAACAACCCACTTATACATATGATTATCAAGACCTAAAGTGATCTTGAGCAAATCATATTTTAGGTTATTGAGCAATTCATATATTAAAATTTCATCAAAGGTAATATTCAGAACCTTGTGATATATTAACTTTAGCTTAAAGAAAGTCAGTAATGCTTATGAAATTACTTGGCAGTGTATGACATGATAGACACATGTTCGAAACCTTCTGCATCGAGAGCTGATCGAATGGCTCCGACCCGGCCATCCATCATGTCACTTGGGCTGACAACATCTGCTCCTGCTCGAGCCTATTTACAAATTCAATTCACATAACAGTAAATGCATATATTGCAGTACAATCAAAAAGAAAAACGAGAGAAAAATATAAGAAGTTTTTACATGTAGAAGATTTTACCTGTGCAACAGCTTGTTTGCTTAGCTGGTGGACTGTCTCATCGTTCATTATGACCCCTATCAATGAGGAAAAATTAACTTTAATCAACAAATAGAAAGAACAAAACTTTTTTAGTGCATTCTTAATCTCTATAAAGGCTTTTTTAGTGCATTATTAATCTCTATAGAGATGGAACTTTTTAATAATGCTGAACTACAAAAACTGAAGAATTTCAGATTTGATCCTTTAACTGAAAATTTGGCATATCCTATAAGCAGCTAACATGAATTATTATGCGTTAAGGTCTTACTCTATGATACCCCAAACCAATCACCCTCTCATATTAAAACAAAAAATGGGGGGGTGGGGGGGGATGTTCTTCACCACATACGCTTTCAGAAAAGCCAAAGAAAGAGCCTTGAACCATAAATAGTAAAAGTTTTGTGTTTAAAGATATATCCTTTTAGTTAGGACGACTTCTACTATGTCAAACTGGCAGAACATGTATAGCTCCTTGAAATATGTACCAAGGGGTCAAACATTTAAAATGGAAGGGGCTTCCACAGTGAAGGATTCCAATTTCAAATATCAACCAAATAAGAAAACAATGAGTTGAAGCAAACAAAATATGAGATGTAGATAAGAGAATTACCATCTTCTCTCACAATGCCATCATGGCCATCAGACGAGTAAGGATCCAAAGCAACATCTGTGTATATAATCTATAAAAGGCACATAATTTAAAGTTATGTAAGTGAACTTGACCATGCAATATATAAAGAAAATCAGATATGGAATAGTACTAAGGTACGATTTTCACTCACGATATCAGGGTACTTGTCTTTTAGAAGACGAATTGCCCGAGGCACGAGGCCATTCTCATTATAAGCTTCATCTCCAGAGGCAGACTTAAGAATCAAAATCCAAATGTTAAACATGATACCAAATCATTAGGAAGTTATAAATGAACATGCAGTAGAAAACAACCTTAAGAGCATCTGGAATTTTTGGAAATAGCACAATGCTATTGACGCCAACATCGCGAGCCTTGTAAACCTATATAAAGTATAGGCCTTGCTTAGAAATGCAAAATGAGAGCAGTACACATATTGAAGGCATGCAGTTGATGGGAGCCAGTAGAGAAATTAGCAAGAGAAAGGACAGATACCCAAGCCCATTTTGTGAAACTTCACAAACAGACCATAGTAAACATATATCACTTTACTTTGCTCCAGCAATGAACAACATGCATATCTACTACATAAAAGATAGAAAGTCTCTAATACCACACAAGAAGGTTGCATACAGATCTTTCTTTCATAAGATACTAAAATAAAGGGTAGTATAGAGAGCAAGTTGATGGGGAGGTCCAGATACTGTTTTACATGGCGGTCACAAGATTGAATGTAATAAACCATTTACCTTCAGGCATACATTATAACAAGGCTTCCACACATCCTCAATTTTGCAACAGCTTCCCTTGGACTTAGTGTATGGCTAGGAAACTTTTCTCATTGTTCACAAAACTTTGACTTGGTGTGTGACTTGGCAAATTTTTAGAAAGAGTTGGGAAGCCGGTAAGTTTCCTTGGTGGAGCATACCCTACCTTCCACAGAAAGAAACTACGAATAATGTGGTGTTATGGGAAGCCTGACTACTAGAAGTACTCCATCTCCTAAGTGACTTGGAAGAACTCCATACAGATTGTTCAGTGGGCACAGCCTCGAGCAGACCGCTGAGGTGGGGACCATGCCAGGCTTGTGGTGTTTAAAAGATCGAAAAACTACACTTTTATTTTTCAGAAACCTGCTTGATAGTGGTTTATCTTTAGAGAATCTATTCCTCTTTGCTTTCTTTTACAATTTCTGCATTCCTTTTTGTTTTCACCAGGGGAAAGGGTAACCAATGGGAATATGTGAGGATTGATAGCAGGGAGCGCTTGGCATTCTTATAGGTCTAATAAGGACTCAGGTATCAGATAAACCAGTCGGTCAATGAGGTTTCCTATTTACCATACAAAAGAAAAAGCAACAACTTGAAAGATGAGAGTTGGCAAGTTACATGCCTACCCAATCATTTCAGTGACTCAGCTGATCTGTGGTCTAAGTCATTCTCCAAAACATCCATATAGGTGTTCCTACAACTAAGTCCTTGTTCTAGGACTCGAAACAACGACCCATATTCTCTTATGCAACTAGACAAGGAGTTATACAATTGTTTGTCATGTAGCCAGATATAGACCATCATAACAAGCTCGTGACATTTTCCACATGTGAAGCCGCTCTAGAATGCTTAGTTTATGGAGCATAAGTCAACAGTGGTTCTGGAAGAAAAGACAAACAACAAATCATCCTTCTTTGCACATCCAGATTCCATTTCAGCTACGACATGTCTCCACTGGATTAATACTGAAACGGGCTGATGATTTAAAACCTAGACTGTTTTGATTTGAATTGTTGGATGAGTGCCAGTGGAACATTCTATGGAAGATACTAGGCACTGGCAAAAGTATTGCATGTTGTCATATAGAGCTGGAATTGAATTAAATTGGCATCACGAAAGTGGCAACTAGCGTATTCCCAGTAACATGACCCATCAAACAGGCAAGATAAAAATTTGCAGGAGCCAAGTTACTAATTGAAGGACATCACATCTCAGAGCATGGTACAAAAGAATACATCTTAAGGGTGTAGTTACATAATAATCCAACAGACTAAAGAAAATCACCGTCCATTGGATCAACAATGTCAATGGAGAGACACAGGAGCCACCCAAACACGACATGACCCTGATGGCAGTGTCCCAGTCTTGAACACTGTCCATCGTTTCAATGGACAGGGATGATCCCAACAGATTATGGTCTTTCAATAACCATTGGTTTGTAGCATACTTTCCCTTAAAATGTTTTATGAAAATTTTGGCGCATGCAGAAAGGAATTCCAAAATTTGGCATCATCATCACATGGTAGAATGGTTCCAGGTTCTACCTCTTCAATAAGCCCATGTCTCCAACCAAGCCTATAGCATCCAGGCATGGCTCCAATAGGAGTGTCCTCTTCAGCTACAAAATGAAAACATCTGCAACTCAGTTTGTGCAAATGGTTTGCATTTCAGCTTAATTTGCAGGGAAAATAAACTATAGAGCAAGTAGTCAACATCCATTGAAATGATGGTAAATGATGGAGAGGGATGCACCAAAGAAAGACATGGCTCCAATTGGATCCTATTCTCTATCTTGGACCATTCCAATGGACAGCGATGACTCCAAGGTATGATTTTTCCAAATGACCACTGGATCATGATATACTTTCCCAAAATGTAATTAAGAAATGGTGGAATACCAAATGGCATTCACCCTTACCAACCTTCATGAATAAAAAGAGGGAGAATGAAATTTGCAGGAGACAATGTTGTCTCTTGGAAAGCAGCTCTGAGAAAAGGAGATTTTCGGTTTCGTCGTGGCCTCCTGGTAAGTGGCTGACATCAAACAAGCATAAGCACACCACATCATAAATAGAAACAGCCGCTAACTTTACTCACAAGTTGCAAAAGAGATTCAGTACAAATACAAATAAATTCAAGCTAATATATGAAAATTCAATTTCTCTCCTTTTGTGTTGGAATTATTTTAAGGTCATAACTTGGGTGTGTCAACCACCTATATGAAACTTGGGATTTTGGCTTATAGCAGTAATGTTCAAGTTGGTTTATTTGTTTATTTTATTTATTTGTACTATCAATTATGAAAAGATGAGTTATGAAAAATCATACATACAAGTTGGGTGACCACTGGAGTTCCTGCAGGAGCTCGTGGTTTGGGAGGGACTGGAGGGGCGGGAGGAGGATTCCCAGCTACAACTGCAGCTTCACATTCATCTATGCTCAACCTTTTCTCTTTAGTCAATGGCTTACCATCAGCAATAGCTCTTGTAACCAGTAAAGGCTGTGCTCTAACTGGTTTAACTGTACGGATAACCCTTGGATGGCTATTCAACAATTTCAAGCCAATATGGGTTTTGAAATCTGAATGTTTGATTGTTTGAGTACCAGATGGTGTAGTGGAGATTGTGAATGCCATGCTTCCAGTTCTATTGACTTCTTACTTGCTGGTGAAAACTTCAGGCGTTAACCCCAAAATAGTCTTGCAATGAAGATGGGATTATATACAAAATAATCTTGAAATGCAGATGGCCTTTACCACCGTGTACAAGATATCAAGTGGAAGTACCTGATGAAGTTAGATAATAGGCATCAATATTTCCTGTTAAGACTCTTAAATTGCACATAAAGCAATCAACAAGAAATAAAATCTAGCTAAACAACTCGATATAGAAGTAGGCTTTGATTATTAATTAGAAGCTTCCAATCATGAGGCTATCAAGCAGACCATGACAGGAATACAAGAATATTAGTAAATAGATTTAGGTACTTATGAAATAAAAAAAACCATAAGGTTTCATGGTAAATCCCAAAACGGTTACCAAAAGTTTTAATAGAACATTTTATTCAAGAAATTCGTCTGGATGGCACCAAGAAATGATATTTCTTAGCTTCACCTTATTTCAGGAATAAGCAATAAAACTACAAAAACTAAAGGGAAAAACTCCTAATAAGAACCATTATGGAGTCTGGACAAAATTACAGAGGTCCACTCAGCTATACCCCATCAACATATCACTAGAATAATTTACCATAAAACTTTGAGGACAGTGACCGTAGATAGAAATAGAATAGATCATCATTCACAATTCCATGTCATATGCATAAGAATCATCATGAACATCTTTCTTGTCCCATGGTCTAAGGAAGTACACATGAATCTAATATTTGAATACAATGCATTTAGAATTTGTAGAGTACATTGTCACAATCAGCTAATGTGACATTCAAATAACTTATGTCATGGTCCTGTTAAATGTTGATTTAGATTAACAAGTGGGTATCCTTCACAAAGGCTTTTATTCAACCATGAGCATTCAAAAAGGCATTTCTAGCCCAAATAAAAAAGATAACCAAAAACATTTGCATTAAACACAAAGGCGCGTATTGCTACCACATATACATATTTCTAAATTATCAAAAAGGTTAATCTTCTGAAAAAGGAAATGAATTTTTTCATTTGTTTTTGAGTTTTCCCTTCAGCCCATTTCCAAATTTTTAGCTCTAAACCTTCCCTTCAAAGACAATGATTCCACAGAGGAAACAAAAAAGACAAAAATGAGATCTTATCTGAAAATATGAATTCCCATATAAAATAAACTCATCACATTCCAAACGCTTTTGATTTCTTTACCTGCAGAACTCCATATTGAAATCACACTTCACATTTGAGACTGTCCGCCTCATAAGAAATGCACAAACGAATACAATTTTCTTATATACGGAAAAACCCCACTACAGAAACATAAAAAACCAAAATCATGCTCAAGTAGAGAAATTTCTTTTCCAGAATCGTCCATAAAAAGAAGAAGAAGAGGCTCAAGAAGAGCACAAAACCAGTAGGTAACAGTAACAATATCAGATGAGAAATACACAGTTTCTATTTCAAAATCTACAATTTTTAAAGACTTGGAACAAATCATGTCTACTAATAATAAATTTACACAATTATACAAAAAAACCAGTAGAGAGAGAAAGAATATTAAATGCAGAAGCATACCTGGTTTTGAAGAGAGAAAGAGAGAGAGAGAGAGAGAGAGAGAGATAGAAAGGGACGCGCAGAGAAGAGAGGAGCCTTATCTCCACGGCCTTTTATCCGAAATAATTTTGGGGGCAGAAAATTGGAAATGTACGTTGGAGAAATATTATGTTTAAAAGGCCGTAAATACTGTATCAGTTCTGAGTTTTATGCGGTCAAAAGCTTATACGCTCCCGCGGGAGCATGACCTTGGGCAGACTTTGCTTTTAGGACCTAAATTTGTTGACTACCTATGGGGAGAAAAAATAATGCAATGTGGCTTAGTTTTGTAAGCTTTTAAGCCTATTTTTAAGGGAAAATCATCAACATGCAAGTAAAAAGTTGGATTATTTAATATATTACCTTATGTGAAATTCGATAAATTTCAAAACCCATTTTAACGGCTATTTGAAATTTGATAAGAAAAGGATGGCTTATATGAAGTTATGCAAAAGAATATGGGTAAGATGTTAAATAATTCAAATCTTTAGTGTGATTTGACAATATTTTCCAATTTTTGGTGAGTGAATTTTGACTCTAAATCACCCAAATTGGATTTATTTTGTTTTTGGCTTGTATTCTAAAAGAAGGTGAAAATTAGCTATGTTTCACAAAGTTTGAGAAATTATTTTTAAGTCATCAATGGCACTTCTAGCCTCCCAATTTCATATCTAACAAGAATAAAGGAAAAGTTTATAAAAAGTGTTCGGACCTATCTTTATGTGTGTGTCATATCGTGAAAACATGTATGTATGTGACTCCAAAGCAAGCACAAGCAAACAACACAAGAACATAAGCACAAACACAACACGAGAGAGAAAGAGCAATTCTAACAAGACAAATTGTGATACTAGATAGGAGTGTTCGTAAAACCAGGCGGGTCGGCGCGACCCGGACGTGTTATCGAGGGTTGGTCTTTGGCCATGACCGGTTTTGGCTGGTTAGGGTGGTCAAGCCAAAAGCTTTTAAAAAAATAAAAAATAAAAATTCAAAAAATAAGAAAAATATTTTAATAGGATTTTTAACATTTTTTATTGTTTCGGAAAAGATTGGGAAGTATTTTGGCCTTAAATACTTATTTTTATATTTTTCCTTCTTTGTGGATTATTTCTAAAAAGAAAAAGTTTATATAAAGTTGCAATCTTAAAATGCAGAATTAAAGGTGCACCTCAAAAATCCCTCATAAAAGGTTGTTTAGATGTTGAAAAACACTCTAATTGATCATCTTGATATCGAGATGTATGAATATGAAAAGAAAAAAAGTTTTTGAGTACGAGAAATAGTGTATCTTACAACACATTATTTTAAATTTAAAGAGGTAAGCGAGTTCAAGTAGAATCACTTACCTCAGGTATCGGTTCGGAACCTCCCGGATCCACTTGGACGGACCTTCTTAGACAACTCAGTGTAGGTGTGAACCAGAAGATGCCTCAATGTCAAAGCTCTCTCTTTCTTGCACGCCTTCTTTATCTAGATTCTAGGCTTAAGGTTTTTCTTTTTAGAAAATCTCTCTCTCGTTAGAATTTCCCTACCGTAGCTATGAAAAATGAATTTTCACAAATAAAAACAGAAAAACAAACTCCCAATGAACTCTAACTTTTACAAATGAAGGGTTCGAGTCATTTTATAGACTTCATTACAAATATAGGTGAATAGTCGAAAGATGGAGGACTCCTAATAAAAGCCATGGTTCAACAAAGACTCCACAGCACTCTTAGGGTAAGTAAAGTCTTGTAGAACCATGGCTTTTATTAAGACACCTTCTAAAGTAGAAAAGTGAGGGTTTCATGGCACTGAGCTCAATTGGATCTCGATCAGGAGCTCAACTGTGCTTCCTACTAGATAGTCATTGGCGTCAAGAAACCGTAGGTACTTCTATTACTCTTATTATAATTCGTGATGATTCCAAAATACGTGTAAATAAAGAAATATTACACTTTTAGTACAAGAAGATCATAATCACTCTTGTCTATCAGATTTTAAATCATTCTTGTCCATCAGATTTTAAATCATTTGCTAAATTTACAATTAAAAAAAAATATTATTGACCTTTGTGACACAAGCCAACCAGTTTGACATTAATCGCAGTAATAATTATGACCTACTTATAATCACTAAAGTAAATATGAATTCCCTAGTACAAATAAATAATTTGCTTGTACTATCTTGTTGTCGCCCTCTTATCCTTTGAGAAGAAAAGGCAAAAATAACTTGTTACCATTGGCTAAGACATATCATGAGTGCTATCTGTTTGGCCAATTTGGGAATGGGAATGGAGCATCGGCTTGTTATCATTGAGCAAGACATAACATTAGCTGTAGGGCCCATTTGAGAAGGATGAGGTTTTTATAAGGCCTAGGGTTAATGAAAACAAATTAAAGCCTCACATCAAATCTTTGTTCGAGAAAAACTTTTGGCAACGAAAATCTCCATGATAACTCTAAAATCAATTTCTAACACTGACAATAAAATCCAAAACTAAAAAAATGGTATAGATTTTGTGGATTAATGAACATTTATTTTTAGGGCAAAATGGACGATCTAGATAATTTATTACAATATACACTACTTTAAGAGTTTGAAATCTTATTTTGTTTTCACAACTATAATGTTCAAGCCAAGATGATCGATGTACAGGTTTTCTAATGCTTGAATTGTATTTTTCGATGAGTCATGAGATGAGGCTTTACTTGTTTCGATATAGCTACAGCCCTATCAAACCATTTCCATTTGAGAATGGGGTTGGGGCATGGTAGTTTGGCTAGCTGCATGGCCTATTTGGGAATGCGGTTGGGGCATCTTAGTCCAAACTTCCACTCTCACCATTGAAAAAATAAAAAATAAAAAAAATAAAAAAATAAAAAAAAGAAAAAGAAAAAGAAAGAAGAAGAAGAGTTAAAGCCTCATCTATTTAGAGAAAATAAGGATGAGAAACATAAGGCCAAACCATTTAGAAAAGGGTGACGTTTGTATAGAGCCTAGGCTCTAAACAATCAAATTAGAGCCGACCTTCAAATAGTGTCAAGAAATGTGGTTTCATTATGGGAAATCTTTGTGATAGCCATAAAATATAGTTTCATATTTATTTATAAATTTTAAAGCTCCAAAAATAGTATAGATCAACAGATCTATGCAAACTTGGAAATATTGAAAATTGACTGTCTAAAAATGCGTTACAAAATACACTATTTTCAAACCTTGAAATCCATTTTTTTCTCATGTCCATGCATCTTGATATCGAGATGATCAATTTCAAGTAATTTGGGCATCAAAACAACATTTTCTAATGAACTTTTTGATGTAGGATCAAATTTGATTGTTTAGAGCCTCGGCTCCATATAAACTTTTCCCTTTAAAAAATTGACAAGGTCAACATGAAAAGCAAAGGGAAGCACAGTTCCTTGTTTTATCAGAACAATGCGACGAAACCAGTGTCGAATAATGATGAGTAGTAAGAGCAAGTTATTTTGATTGCTCTTGTTGGGAAGCTGGGTCCATTCTACAGCGTTTAAATGGGGAAAATACAATATTATCTACTTTGTGAAAAATATAGGACGAAATGAAGATTACAAAAGATTTAACACTGTCATTAACATATATATAAAAAAAAAAAGGTTTATATATAGCCGATGCTCTAAACAATCAAATTAGAGCCCACCTCACAAATTTCACTATAAGAGGTTTTTTTGATGCTCCAATATCCTTAAATTGATCATCTCAACATTAAGATGCATGTACATGAGAAAAAAATGGATTTTAGGCTTTGGAAATGGTGCATCTTATAACGTATCTTTGGACCATCAATTTTCAAGATTTTCAAGTTTTTATAGATTTACTCAATATGTACTATTTTTAAGGCTTTAAATTTTATAATTAAAGATGAAAATATGTTTTAAGGCTATCACAAAGATTTCCAGTATTAAAACTACATTTCTCGACATTATTTGAAAGTGTGCTTTGCTTTGATTGTTTAGAACCTTGGCTCTATACAAACCGCACCGTGCGTATGCAATCGCCGACTTTGTTGGCGTCAGTATCACGAGATAAGCCACTGCTGAGCTTAATTATGGTTTGTATAGAGCCTAAGCTCTAAACAATCAAATTAAAGCCTACCTTCAAATAGTGTCAAGAAATATGATTTCAATGATGGAAATCTTTTTGATAGCCTTAAAATATATTTTTATATTTTATTTATAAAGTTTAAAGCTTACAAACTAGTGTAGATCGAGAGATCTATACAAACTTGAAAATTGGCCATCCAAAAATGCGTCACCAAAATAAACTATTTTCAAAAGTTGAATTTTTTTTTTCTCATATCCATGCATCTTGATGTTGAGATGATCAGTTTGAAGATATTTAGGCGTCAAAAGAACCTCTTTTAGTGATATGTTTGAGGTAGGCTCGAATTTGATTGTTTAGAGCCTCGGCTCCATATAAACTTTTCCCTTTATGTATTTGTTTCTCTAATCGAATAAATTATTTTCAGGGCTTTGTCTGTTGGGTTTTACTTAAGATTAACTGATTTCAAGCAAGCTTTTCTTGTGGTCGTGCATTTACTTTCATTCTCTCTTTTGGTGGCTAAAATAGCGCGAACTTCCTTTCTTTCCCCTCTTAAATTACATGTTATTTATATAAGTTTAAGAGAAAACCAGCGAGAAAAGGAAATATATATTTGGGCATACTTTTGTACTTTTTTGAGAGCCCATTTAAATGTTATGTGCATGGTACATTGGTTATTATTAACCCTAATAAAAGATGCATGCCACCTATTTGTTAAAATTTCTTAGTGGTTCTAACTATAAAACTTAAAGCACATTTTCTATCGGATTTGGTAAGAGGGACTGACCCGGTTAATTTATAAAACTAGTAATTGATCGGACTCGGTGGGAATCGCCTGGTTCTATCAGTGATATGGGTGACTCGGTGATTCGATTGGTGGAATTGACAATAAGGGAAAGAAAAACTAGGTAATACCCTTTTTACCTAAGTTTTTTATTTCCTTTTATTTTTAATTTTTTTTGAACCATGCTACCGAGCTTTTGAATTCAAGGTTCCTCAGCTGCTTGCTCTCCCCCACATGACTGACGCGCCCCTCAAAAGTTATTTATGAAAATAGAAATTATTATCATTTTTGTGGACGTAACTGGTGGGCAAGGGTTTCTTGACTTTCAAAGCAAGAAAGAAAGAAATGAGAGAAAATAATCCAAAAGATTTTATACTCCTATCCGAGTGTACTGTCAATTTACTCTTTTAGATAAAATCCAATCTAAAAATAATTTTATGACCACAAAGTCTAGGGATGTAACCTCTCAATAAAATCTTTTTTTTTTTTCCAAATCGCATTGTGCTTGTCGAAAAATATATATCAAGATTGAACATAGACCGAGCAATTTTCGGAGGGTGAGATCTAAGTGCCAAAGGGCTCAAAATTCAAGTTCTTTCTTTTAAAATTTTATCATCTAGTAATTTGTAAATGGTTCTCGATATTTCAATTGAAAAATTTATCCCAATTAGCTCTTTTGACCGATGGAATATACATACAAAATGCTCCGAAGGGAGCATAGTATAGGTGCTCATTGTCTAGCATAATATTCCAGTTTCAAAGTTCCATCTCAGTTCAAATGGTTATAGATAGAAGCAATTAGTAAAATAAAAGGTTTATATAAGGTCGCAACCTTAAAATGTAGAATTACATATGCACCTCTCAAAAATCCATTGGAAAAGGTTGAAAAAACCTCTAATTGATTATCTCGACATCAAGATGTATGAATATGAAAAAAAAAATATTTTGAATCCCAGAAATAGTGTATCTTGCAATTCATTATCTAAACTATCCATTTTCAAAATTTTCATATGTTTATAAATCTACTAGATTTTAACCATTTTTGAAGTTTAAAATTTTACAATTAGATATGAAAATAGATTTTGAGATAATCCTACAAATTTGTTTCACCAAAATTACATATTATTATAAAATTTGCAAATGTGCATTAATTGGATTGTTTAAGGTTGCAACCTTATAGAAACCACACCCTTCTCAATATTTTCTTATTTTTAAACAGTTTTCTACCTGCCACTTTACCTAACGTGGTCAACCACTCTTTTTCTTAATATTATTTTGCTTTCTTCGTTTTCAAGTTTTTTATATTCTATATGCAAGTTGAGGTCCCGTGAAAAGCTAAAACTTTTGACATACTTCTAAGTTCCATACCATGGTCAAATTTTATGCTAATTTTCAATCTTTGATGAATATGGTCATGGGATTGTACATTATAGGGACAAGGTGGCAATCATCTCTAGCCATTGGATATGAAATCGAGTAGCTAGAAACATTTCAGAAAGTTTGATAAAATCTCTTTTGGACAATGAGCCCCATCAGATTTACATCCATTGGCTAATTGTGATTGTAATGTTTTTGCCAAAGATAAATGATCTTATTGTCTAATTTCCTTAATGTCAATCTGAAAAAATGCAAATTGGGCCCACAGGCGGCTGGGAGGAGGGGAAAGGAGAGAGAGAGAGAGAGATTATTGAATTAGTCACAAATTTGGACCAGAATTCTTCCAAGTGCAATGAGTCTCTTAACATCCTTTCTCAAAGGGCTATGTATACTATTCTAGCAGCACTTTAGTTTAAAACATTCTGCTAGAATATCCACAACTGTCCAATGTCAACAAGACATTAACCTGTTTTTTTTTGAAAATTTCTAGCACAGCATACCTTCTTAAAATAATGGCAGAAACAGTAGAAATTTGGCAAGAAAAGTATGCGAGGACATGAACACAAGAAGACCTTTCGATAATACTAACTAATCCATGGCATCGTGCGCACTTCACTAGCACCTAGGACGAGAAATATAGGGACCAAAAGCTGGTACACATACATAACAACATTATGAGAAGACAATTCCGTAAGGCTGAAAGTGAGTAATCAAAATACGAAATCTTGGAACACGTGTAATAACACTAATGGAAGAGAATTCTGAGAGATTCACAGTGAGTCATCGATGTTAGTATGGATATTAACACTAGTTGCCAGCATTTTTCATGCACTCCTCCTACATTGAGATTTCCTGCTGGGCAAATTGATGGAGGCATCTACTGATGGTGCTGATGATCGGCTCTGATCTTCGCTGTTCGAGTTTGAATCCTTGTAGGTTTTCATGCAAGGCAACCTAAGGTAATAACATATAACAGTTAGTCTAAAGAAACCCAAAGGAAAAAGCCGAATCTCTTGAGCTAGGAACTCATGCCTCACCTGCTCGACTTTATGATCTCATCCTCGATAGGTGTTTCCTTGTCAAATATGTTCCCTATGAACCAGAAGAAGAATGTAAGTGCAGTTCAAATCAGATCTAGCAAATAATATACAAAAGTGAATAAACATGACACGGATTGTTCAGAAATAATGTATCCAGGAGTATTCGTCGCTTTTATTTTCTTTAACGTTCTTCAAAATAAAACCAGATCTAGTCCATAACATATAAATAATTGCAACAATCTAGAGGGCCGCTCTTTGATGTATCTCTTTGAGTTCCACAAGCAAAAGAGGTTCTATTTATCCACACAGAGTCCAATGTTCAATGATTGATTATTGCCTTTCGTTGCATACTTACCTCCATTAAAAGCTTTTCTTGAAAAGTACTTCGCTTTCAATCTACGAACATAGTCTGCCTCATATTTGTTGTACTTCTCTATGTATTCTGCAACTTCGGACTCCCTGAAGAAAGATAATATATTAGTACTTGATACAAGACAAGCACCTAGAAAGAAGACATTTATACAAGACATCGTGCATTAGTATATAAATAGTAGACCTGTAAGTTATTGCTATTGCTTGAGAACCTGAGGAAATGGCAAATCATGAATAATACAAAACAAGTGTGCATAAGCAACTGGCTCAGTGAAAAACAGGTATATCCTAAGAAACCCTCAATCCTAGTATTGCTTGTAAGCACATTTAACTATGTATCTCCAAAGGTAAAGTGGAGTAGTGGATGTCAACCACAGAGGTTCCTATGACTCTATTTCAATACACCCCCTCAAAAAATGTATATGGTAAAAGTTATCAGAGGTATGGTGGGATTAGTTAAATAAAAGGGCCCAGAAACTTAAAATATAAACTGGTGGCGGGCTACTTGTAAATATGAGTTGTAAACCAACAAAAGTTAACCATTGTTTCTGCAGTAATAGCCATTATGGCAGTGAACTACTGGGCCCTATTTCAAATGGGCCCAAACAATGTGTTTGTACAAAGAAGCATGCAGCAGTACACACATGTGCATGTGCGCACTTCCTTCAATATGGATGTAAGGGATCCAAATGGAAGATAATCCGTATTTTGTCGCCCCCATGTTACATCGCCTCACGTAGGCTCTTCATGATTTTGAAGAGGTTGAGGAAAACAAAACTCTACAGTGGATTTAGGCAGAACAATAGCGATTGCTCTGGTTTTCCTCTGACTAGAAGTTTCTTAGAAAATTGTTCTTCTAGTGTACGTAGATATCTTCTAACCATGGAAGATGCCGTAGCCAGCTAGTACATTGAAACATAAGACAAATCCTTAATATGAGATGGCGAAAATGGGTCACATGACATATTCATCAGGTATTGGGGCTAGGGTAAAGGCTCGTGCTTTAGTGCCTATGACATAACATTTCACCAATGTCCAACGTTCACACCCAAGTCACCCAGCTAGACCTAATTTTTTCTTTTAAAAAAAGACTGATATTGCTTAGTCATTTGCTCGCCCTTTTCTCAATATAAGGGAATAATTGCTCACTGAATGGAAGCGTATGCACATATCTTTACCAAGTGTGAAGCTATCCACATCTGAGAGGCTATCCAAGGACACCCAAGTATTGATCACTAGAAGGGTGCTTTAATTACCTACTTGAAAGTCGATCTGACATAGTTAGTTTGCACAGTTCGTGTTGTTAACAAATATATAAGCGACACTCGGAGACTATATCTGTCAGATGAGGTGTCAGATGAATTGTTATCATGTTACCTAGCAACAAGATGGTGGGTCTGTTATTCTCAATTGGTACACATTCTCACCAAAGGAATCTCAGAGAGACATAAATATCAAGTTAACAAATAAACACTGCTAGATTTATCAAAGTTATTTCAGGGAAAGTATCAATTTCAGGAACGTGTCAGATTATACAAAATAGGATCATGGTTGTCACATTGTACATAACAGGGATCTAGCATCATTCATGTAACGAGAGAACATCTTTGCAATTTGGAAGTCGTATGTGGTCCTCTTAGTCATTTATATAGACACGAAGTCCTTACATCATTTAACCCCAAGTCATCATAGTAAAGCCTTGAGGGCTTCGTTACAAATTAATGATAATTATTCTCTCAATCTTTTGTTTTTTTGTTTTTTTTCTGAAAGAAGGTTCACTGTTTTGTGTTTTGTGTTTTGCGTTATACAATGAAAACTCACAAAGAAGGAAGTTACAAAATGAAGTATAGGTCACCCACAGGTTGGGTACTCTGTACATCTCTCAAAAAATGGGGTTATCTCTTAACCATATAAAAAGATCGAGGATCTGTACACATCAAAGGACTGATAACCCAGCTGACCCATCAGGACAAAAAGAGGGTGGGACTGGTGGGACAGAGAGCACACACCAATAGCAGCTTTCTATATAGTCATTTATAGCTTCATAGAATTAAGGTCACTTGGTCCCACTCTTGTATAGGACTTAAAAGCATAATTATCATATAATCATTATTGTTCTGTTAATGGATTTGACAAGCCTTTAGGGATATCTGCAAACTCAATTTAACTGATTCCACTCTCAATTGTCCCTTTCTACAAAATCCAAAAAAGTATATTCAATGTTAAGTTTTTGCACTTTGAGGAAGAGATATTGGCAGCTCTCATTGACAGCAACACTGTCATGGCCAGACGTTTCCAACCGTTTAAACTAGCTTGACCAGGGTTACCTTTCATAAAATATTGATGTTGAACAAGGAAAACCAAGTGAGTTCCACCTAAATAAGCTGAAACAAATGAGCTGTCTAAAATGAGCTGTCTGAAACTTTTTTTTTTTTGGTGAGTTAATTGAAGCAATCAGTTGAACCAGTTATCTGACAGGATTGGACGTTTCTCTAGTCTTCATGGCAGGTCAAGTGCTCATAACATGGGTTTGCAGAAGGCACCCCTCCATGAAGATGTCCATTTCAGTTAGAGACAGCATTTGAAGACTTCGTCTCCTGTAATAAGAGGATCAAAACTCTGGTGGTTTTCATGATGGGGTCATATTTTCAAGTCAGCACCTTTGGTTACAGTCTCGTACTACAACTTTATCCTCTAGAAAAATGTTAAATACAAAATAGCATTGTTTTGGAGAAATCTAGAGGGCTCCCTCTTTCTGGTTTTTACAATTTTCTTTGTGTATGCCTCTGAAACCACTTCTAAGTCCATACATTAATTTCAAGGAGCTCAAATTCTTGGGTTTCCAAAAGGGGATCACTTTTCAATTGTCCTCCTAAAAACTCTATTGTATTTCGAAATATGTGATCTTGTTTCTACAACCAGGCTCTAAGGAACAGCTTAATATGAAATATAAAGATGAGTTTAGTGTAAGTAGCAAAATTCTGTTTCTCAAGGATCCAATTTCCTTGGATCCAAGAGAACCCTATTGTCCAAGGAACATTTTTCCACACATGCACATATATACATGATAAAAACCAATTAAACTTCAATAGTATACGCTGTGTGATATTAAGTGGTGTAGAGGAGTATTTATTTGCCATATGGACTGTCTAGGAGCCATTTGTGGAATCGACATACTTTGAAGATCTATGTATGCTATAAATTCTGATTAAAATACTGATACATAGTTTACTCTTAAACTTGTTGCAAATTTAAGAAGATGGTATGGGACACAGAAGGAGTGGCATTGCATACACGGAACAGAGCACTATTCAATGTGAAACCCACATACAAGTGATAAATATCCGATAAGGGATTAAACACCGCCAGTTCTGTCAAATCATTGGAAACTATTTGATTTGAGTTTCTTACAGATTTTTTATGACAGACAAAAACCCTAAAGTTACAAAGTACAATCTACTCTCAAAGAACCTCTGCATCTGAGATATGATTTACTGGTCCATCAGATATGAATATTAAGCTTACGTTCCCTTCCAGAAATAAGCGCAAGCTCATGATATAAAAATAAATAAAAGGAAACATTACGAGCTCTATCCATCACCTTAGGAACTTACTTTCCTCACGATTCTTAAGAACTTATGCAGGCCAAAGAGTTTTGAAAAAAAATAAAGACTTGGTTCATTATGGTTCTATTCCAAAATTAGAATATGAAGCTTGAACTGGTCAGAGAGATTTAAAGAGTCTTTAAGCTGAATACCCCCCAAAAAAAGACACCGAGTTATCTTCTCTGAAATCACATAATACAAAGATTTAAGGATTGGATATAGCAATCAGACAATAAAGAACAATTATACTTTCGACATTTATCAAGGAACTCTCTTTACAAGTCGGAATTACTAGTGCTTGCATCTCTAGCATGCTATTAAACCTCAACCACAGAATGTATCCAAACAACTGACAATTCCATGTATACAACACAAAACCCCAGTTTTCTATAAATTTCTGTAAAGGAACAAAGCAGAAATGCAGAATGCTCTGAATTCTGAATAAAACTAAGGATTGAAGTCCGAAGAACAATAGAACTTACTCTCCGAAGAACAATAGAACTTACTCCATGATATCCGCAAGCTTAGGATTCAAAGCAGGGAGATCATCTTCCTCGTTAGACGCCATGCTCGTGCCTTCCTGAAATGTTAAAAACATGTGTGGCCCAGACAGAAAGGGAACGTTATCTGCCTAGAGAGAGAAAGAGAGATAGTAATATTCAACAATAGAGAGAGAGTATTCAACTGTGCCAAAAACATTCAAAATGGGTCACATTTTCAGTATCGAAATATGTTGGTTCAGTATAAAAATATTTATTATGGTCTGAAAATTTATTTTCATCTTTGGTTATAGAGCTTATAAAATAGTGTAGATAGAGTAAATCCATAAATACTTGAAAATCTTAAAAATTAATTGGCTAAATGATATGTAACATGATGCACTACTTCCAAGACATGAAATATTTTTTTTCTCATGTCCATACATCTTGAAATCTATATGATTGAATTGAAGGTTTTTCAACACCAAAACAACTTTTTAAATGAATTTTTTAGTTGTGTCATAATTTAATTGTTTAAGCCTCGCTTTATATAAACTTTTTCTTAAAAAAAAGGGCTTATAAATTTGGTTTTTTTTTAAAAAGCAATTTGAATCTCTTTGATAACTTGATGTGGACTTGGGGTCTCTACTTTGAATAGAGGGGGCATATGGGCACAAATCCCTTTTAGCCTTACCTCACATAATATTCGTTTTAATGGTTTCTTCTCTCTCATCATTCTCTTTCTAAAGAATATTTTTATGCTATTTTTTACCACGTTCTCTCTTTCTCTCTCTATAATCTAACCCATTATTCCCTTGACTGGTTTTTTTTTTTCCTCTAAGAACTCATTCTTCCCTTCTTTCACATTTTCTTTCCCAAAAAAAATAAATAAATTATATTCTCTCTAAAAGGTTGACCCATTATTCCTCTCTCACAGTACTCTAAAAACCAAGTCTTGTTTTTGCTTATTCTCTCTCTAAAACTGAAAACAAAGAAGTGAGAAATCAAGAGGAAGAAAAAAAATTCTATTGTACCTTTAGAAATCCCTGGAATGTGATTTCTCTCTCTTCTTTGATATCTCAGACATCTTATTTGAATCGAATTCAGTTTTAGAAATCCCTGGAATGTGATTTCTCTCTGTTCTTTGATATCTCAGACATCTTATTTGAATCGAATTCAGTTTTAAAAAGAATATGAGTTCTTACAAAGAGAATGTGAGGGGAGGGAGAAATGAGTTGGATCTTTTGAGAGAAAATATGAGAAGGGAGTAGCTTAAGGGCGTGGTTTTGAGAGAGAGAGACAGAGGAAAAAATATATTTTTTTTTAAATAAAAAGCGGCCCTCAGATTTTGGTTTTAATAGAGGGGTAAATCGGCCCATTCATCTATAAAAGATGAGAAAGCCAAAATCAAAATAAAATCTCAAGAAGTCCAATATCTCCAAAAACGATATCATCATTTATTTTAAAAATAAAATCTCAAGAAGTCCAATATCTCCAAAAACGATATCATCATTTATTTTACTCGAGTGGCATGCCATAATATCATTTATCTACGTTGCAACGAGGTCACAAGTAGTACAAGCCATTAGATGTTAAATTGTATGGCTCAACGTTCATCATAAAGTTCAAGAATTCTCTTTTAGAACTTTGGCCACTCGGATTTCACCTCTTTGTATAAAAAGTAAAAAAGAGTAAAAGGGAAAAATTTATATAGAGCCGAGGCTCTAGACAATCAAATTCGAGCCCACCTCAAGATTTTCACTAAAATAAGTTGTTTTGATGCTCAAATGTCCTCAAATTGATCATCTCGATATCAAGATGTATGAAAATGAGAAAAAAATGGATTTCAAGTTTTAGAAATAGTACATCTCATAATGCATTTTTAAACCGTCAATTTTAAAGATTTTCAAGTTTTTATAGATCTGCTAGATCTATATTATATCTTATGAAATCCAAGACTTAATCAAATTTTTTTAAAAAAGATCAAACAAAACTGAATGGGCAAAGAAGCGTACATTTTTATAATCAACAGCTCAAAATTCGGGGTAAAAGCAGATCGAACTGACCGAGACAAGATATGTAACACATGAATGAATGACAAAACACCCAGAACGAGAATATGATAATCTTTGAGACCACATAAAATGTATTTTACAGGGACAAAGTGTAGATCCACGACTGATCTATTTTACATTCTAACTTTTACAGCATATAAACAAGAACATGAATTGTTATACCCCAGCTTGCAACCAGCTATCAAAACTCGAAAATTTCGAACCATATGAGAAGATAATGAATGGAGATCATGAATCCCCAGTTCCATAGAGCATCTAAATCAATTCTTTTCCTCGGGCACTTGTCTCACCTGTGAAATACTCGTATGCATTACATAACCTCGTGAAATTCAAAGTGCATCAAAAGAGAGGTCATTGAATCCCTTGGTCGAGTCTGCAATTCACTGAGCAACAGTACTAGCTGACAAACCCTTAAAACTTTAAATTCCATATTTTTAGGATACCCAACATTGCAATATTAATGGAGAAAACTATTTCCTTTCATGCAATTGTTTCTCTCTCTCACACTCTCAAACTTCGCAAAAGCAGTGTGTATGTGTGGAGAGAGAGAGAGAGAGAGAGAGAGAGAGAGAGAGAGAGAGAGAGACGACTACGAACGAGAGTATACTAGTAGTATGTACTAGTTACGAACAAACCGAAAAGTAAAAGTAAAGTTAGACGAAGTAAAGTAAGTTAGTTAAGAACGTAAAGGAAACGA